GCATTCCTTCAGATATTATTATACCACTTCACATATAGTGTAAAAACTTTGCAACATTAAATTTAATCCCTCCCTCATTCTTTGTGTTATTATTATCATACGTTTTTACTTCTACATGTGCTATATACCCCAGAATATACATACCATAAAATTAACTCCTTTTAAGTGTACAATTCAGTGATTTTTAGTATATTCACAGGGCTGTGCAACTATCATCATCATCTAATTCCCAAGTAAATTCTGTAGCCATTAGTACTCATTCCCTGTATGCGTCTTCCTCTAGTTCCTGACAACCACTAATTTAATAGGATTTGCTTATTCTGGGCTTTCCATGTAAATGGAATCATATGTAGCCTTTTATGATTGGATTCTTTCACTTAGCATAACATTTTCAAGATTTATCCATGTTGTAGCATGTATCAGTACTGTATCTTCAAATAATAATCTATTTTATGGATATACTACCTTTTGTTTATCAGTTCATCAGGTAATGGACATTTGCATTTTCATTTTATGGCTATTATGAACAATATTGCTATAAACATAAAAGTACAAGTCTTTGCACATGTTTTTCCCCAGTTCTCTTGAGTATATACCTAGGTTTGAAATTGCTGGGTCACATGGTACCTCTGTTAAACTTTTTGAGGAATTGCCAAATTGTTTTCTAAAGTGATTACATCTTGCAATTCACATTCCCATTAGCAATACATGAGAGTTTCAGTTTCTCCACATTCATGCAAACACTTAATAATTGTCTGTTTTTAATATAGTTATCCTTATAAAAGTATATGGGTATAAAGTGGAATCTCACTGTGAGTTTGATTTGCATTTTGCTGATGACCATGTTGAGCATCTTTTCATATACTTTTTGGCCATTTGTGTATCTTCTTTGGAGAAATGTGTATTCAAGTCTTTTTTTCCATTTTTTATTTGAATAATTATTTTGTTTGATTGTAAGATGTTTTTGAGGATATTTTGGGTTTCAGACTCTTACCAGATAAAATTTGCAAATACTTTCTCCCATTGTGAGAGTTGACTTTTCATTTTCTTCAGAGTACCCTTTTCTGCATAAATGTCTTTAATTTTCATGAAGTTCAATTTGTTATTTCTTTTAATTAGCTTTTTTAAGAGAAAGAAATCAGGCCTACGTATGTTTTTTTAATTGTAAAATTACATACCATAAAATTCACCATTTTAACCATTTTTGATTTTACATTTCATTGACATTAAGTGCATTTACAGTGTTGTGTAGCCATCACTTCTGTTTCTAGATCTTATTTTTTATTATCCCAAGCAGAAACTGTATATCCATTAAACAATACATCCCCTTTCCCCTGGCTCCTGGTAACTTCTGTCTGCTTTCTATCTCTATGAATTGGCCTCTTGAAGCTGCTTATATAAGTGGAATCATAAAATATTTGTACTTTGTATGTGGTCACATCACTTAGCTTAATGTTTTCCAGATTCATCCATATTGTAGCATGTGTCAGAAGCTCATTCATTTGTTGGTGGACACTTGGCATTGTTGCCACCCTTTGACTATCAGTACATTTGATACTATTTTCAGTCTTTTGATTCTAGTTTTACCCTTTGTGCATGGATTAGAAGTAGATTGTATGTAATAAGTACTTTGAAATGATAGAATATAATATGGTCTATGTGTTAATTGAAAAGTATTTTTAGTGCTAGTTTATACAGTGCCTATTTTATAATTCACAATAAAATATAGATCCTATATTTGAAAAATACTTATGAAAGAGTTTTTTTTTTTAATCCAATTTAGAGTTCGTTGTCGAAATGCTGGTCCTGTAGCTGTAGCTGAGAAGAGCATTGCCCAGGTTGCGGAGAAATTCATAGTAAGAGGTTATTGCCCATATTGCAACCAAGTCTTTGTGGATGAAGCCAGTACTCGGATTCACAAACAGAATTCAGGACACAAAGTCCAAATCACTACTTCAATGGAGGAATCAGTTTTACTTTATTGCCACAGCAATCAAGGGAACAAACCTGCTTCTGACTTGCATCTATTGTTAGATCAATCAAAATGTTCATCACTTAAAAGAACTATGTCTGTTAAAGAATCTAGCACACAAGATTACAGTACCATTCCAAAAAAGAAGATGAATTTAGGGAGTGAAGACGATGAGGATATGGTTTGTGTACAGAAAGAAAAATCAACAGTTAAAACCTGGTTTTGTGAATGCCATCAACAATTCCCAACCGAAGATGCAGTAGAAAAGCATGTTTTCTCGGCAAACACAATGTGTTACAAGTGTATGGTATGTGGAAAGGTGTGTGAAGATTCAGGGGTCATCCGTTTACATATGAGTCGGATTCATGGAGGAGCACATTTAAATAACTTTCTTTTCTGGTGTCGGACATGCAAAAAGGAATTAAGGAAAGAGTCTATTATGGCACACGTGACTGAATTTCATAATGGACACAGATATTTTTATGAGACAGATGAGATAGCAGGTGAAGCTTTACCATCATCCTCTACAACACTAAGAACTAACTCGGCTGCTAAGAAGCCTTCTTCAACTATAACTATTATTGATCATTCCACAGCAAGCAACCCTCCAAGGGGCAAATGGCAATGCCGGATTTGTGAAGATATGTTTGATTCCCAAGAATGTGTCAAACAGCACTGCATGTCTTTGGCAAGTCACCAGTTTCATAGATATAGTTGTGCCCATTGCAAAAAGACTTTCCACAAGATTGAAACATTATACCGACATTGCCAAGATGAACATAACAATGAGATAAAGATTAAATACTTCTGTGGGCTTTGTGATCTTATCTTCAATGTAGAAGATGCATTCTTGATTCATTATAAGGAGCGCCACAGCATAGATTATGTGTTTGTGTCAGAAAAAACTGAAACTCCAATTAAAACTGAGGATGATTTTCCAGTTTTAGAGACTAGCAACCTATTAACTTGTGGTTGCCGTGAGAGTTACATCAATAAAATCAACAGAAAGGAAGATTATAGTAGATGTTTCCAAATCATGCTGGATAAAGGTAAACTATGGTATCGCTGCCGTTTGTGTTCAGCAACAGCACAGAATTTAACTGATATGAAATCTCATATCAATCAAGTGCACAGAGAAGAAAAGAGTGATACGGAAGAACAGCAATATGTCATTAAGTGTGGTACCTGCACCAAAGCTTTTCATGAACCAGAGAGTGCTCAGCAGCACTTCCATAGAAAACATTGCTTCTTACAGAAACCCAGTGTGGCTCATTTTGGATCTGCAAAAGCAGGCCTGTACAAGTTTACTGCCAATGTCACACCTACTGAGAGAAAATTGAAACAGGGTGTAAACTATCCAAAAAATTCAGACATGGAAAAAGGAGCTGAGAATGACCAAAGCTGTCAGAATATAGGTATGGCTTTATAACTGTAATGTCTGCAAATTTCACATAGAGTGTAGAATACTATGTAATAAATAATCATAAATATGACTAATGATCCAGTTTTAAAGCAAAAAACATACCATATATTAGTAAATTACTACAGAATACACTTTTTAGGGATTTGTCTTTCTGCTTCCTCATTTAGCCACTCTGTAAACTCAAGGAGACAAAGATTATATGCTGGCTTTAAATAATACTTACTTAGATGTTATTTTTCAAATTCAGATTTGAAAGCTATCCTGGACACTATTTTTCTTATAATCCTTTAAAAAAAATAAAAGAAATTTTTGTTTTTCATATTTGGGCCTTTTTTGTTATGATTGACTTGGAAGCTAAGCTTTTGCTTATTTAAAAAGTAGGCACTCACTGGAAGTAGAGTTAAAAGTGGTAGCAAAAAACCTGGAGAAAATTGAGGTACAAATGTTATTTGCACTTTTTTTAGTCTAGACTTCTTGCATATGATAGGGTTAGGTTCATCTAGAAGAGTGCTATGTTTTTATTTGGTTTAGAAGAGTATAATTTTAATCTTTTATCATTTAAAATAGATATTAACTCTTGGTGAGTTAAGCAGTGTGTAGAATGGAGACAATGAGGATATTTGAACATTTGGGCTGCAAAATATTTTCACGGATCATTGAATTTATATAGAGTTGCTCTACGGTATATGTAGATCTCAGCAGCACACCACCTTTACTCATGTGAGAAAAGAGTCAATCACTACAGACCTGCTGGACTTGACTCGAAACATTTTTGTGTTCTCTTTTGCATCTACTGCTTTGATTACTTTTTGGGAATTTATGTTGGTATGTGTTTTATAGAAGATTGTTGCAGTATCTAAATCTAGAATTACTGAAAACTTAGAGAAGAGATGTAAGAAGTTAGGTGGTTGGGAAGTAGGAGGAGATGGCAGTAGTGTACTTGAGGGAACCACTCTTGGGCAGAGTAGAAACTACTAATTTAAAAAATAATTGAATATTTTCAGGTTTGCATTACTACCATTGAAAAGTTTAAGGCTTTGTCAAAGTAGAAGATAAGAGAAAGAGGAAGGAGAATTGGAATTGGAGAATGGTCAGAGATGAAAGAAGAACCTGAGAGGACCAAGAAACAATATATTTCTGCTACCTAGAGTGTTTAATCTCAGAACCAGGTGGCTACTAATACATTTGTGGTCTAGATTAGGAAAAGAGCCAAATTCTTAATGGGGAAGAACATTTTTTCAGGTAATGATGGATGGTGCAAGTTTTTGGTTATTTATCCTTAAAATTTGGTCTTGTAGTACATTTTAAAGTTTTTTGTTAATTCCTTTTATAAATGATGAAAAAACAAAAATCTTAGACTCATTGGTACATAGTTGTAGAAAGGATACACAATTTTTTAAATATTCAGAATATTTTATTTGTTTTAAGTGTAAAGTGTCATATACAGGTTTGTATTTCATGAAAGGGTTTAGATAGAAATGAATAGCATGCAAGATTAATATCTTTGCATATTCTATCATATCTTCCGGACTTGAGAAGTTAAAATGTTTTTAGAAAATTCTTACTGAATTCATATTAATGTTTCTTTTTTACTAGATGAAGAAACTGTTGAGCTTCCGGATTTGGATTACCTGCGAACCATGACTCATATAGTCTTCGTAGATTTTGATAACTGGTCAAACTTTTTTGGTCATCTACCAGGGCATCTTAACCAAGGAACATTTATTTGGGGCTTTCAAGGTATAGTTACTAAGGAAAACATTTGAGACAACCCACCCCCTTTTTTTTTAATCTTAGATACAGTTCACTTTTAAGGGATTCCTCTTGAACATTCCTGAATAGAACATAACCATGTAATTGGAATATTGTTACTTTGCATTATAGCTGTTCTGCTAGAATCTTTTCCTCTTTACATTGCTGTATGATAAACATTAGCTCTATTTGGTGGCCCAAAGTTTGTGTATCTTTAGATAACAGATTTTAAAAGCTTTTATTCAACACCTACAGTGTTCTAATCACTGTGCTTGGTACTAGCACACAGTTACTGATAATTATAGTTTTCTCTCTTTTAAAATATATGGAAGCAAGCCAAGAAATTTATTTATTTATTTATTTTACAAAAAACTAATAAGTAGCAGAAATAGCTTTTGAGCTTTGTTCTCTTAGCTATAGGATTAGTGTTATTCTCAACATGCCTCAGCTGCCTCTTAGCTATTCATTACTACAATTTCATCTAAATTTCTTTATAAAACAGTTGACTGAACCTGAAAAAGAGGCTTCTTTGATTTGCATAGGTTTTGTATAGTGAGAGGAGCCCTGGTGGCACAGTGGTTAAGTACTCAGCTGGTAACCAAAAGATTGGCATTTCAACCTACCAGCTGTTCCACAGGAGCAAAGACCTAATAATCTGTTCCTGTGAAGATTGTAAGTCTAGGAAACCCTATGGGGCAGTACTCTGACATGGAGTCCCTGTGAGTCAGAATCAACTCAGGGCACACAACAGCAGTATGGTAACTATCTGATAGCATTCATGTCTGATGGAAACAACATATGAAAAATAAGGTTGGGATTCAAAATGAAAGCATACTGACCTGGATAGGTTGGCCATTGCCATTTTGGTGATTGCCTATAATTTCTATCCACCTTTGACATATTTGTAAAATGCTCTAGTGCTCACAGTGGTACAGAATGATGCCACTGCCAAGCATTTCCACACTTTGGATTTAGATTTTAAAATTAGATTTTAAGTTTTCTACTTTAGATTTTGTTTAACATCCCCGTGAATTTTCAGGTAAGTAGGCAGATTGAGGGAATTGGCCTGTTTTTCAAGGTTTTAAGGCAACAAGTTGGTGATACCTAGTCTAGAACTGAGTTTTTATTGATTTTGACTCATAGCGATCCCTCTTTGGGTTTCCAAGGCTGTATCTCTGTGGAAATGGATTGCCTAGTCTTCCTTCTGAGGAGTGGCTGGTGAGTTTGAACCACCAGCTTTCTTGTTAGCAGTCAGATGCCTTAGGTGCTCTGCCACTAGAACTCCCTTTTAGGAAGATTGAGGGAATTGGTCTACTCCCCAAGGTTTTAAGATAATTAAGTTGATGCTGCCTAGTCTGGAACTGAGTTTTTCTACATTCTACTGTAGTGCTTTTCCCTCTAGAAGAATGTGGTGTTTTAGTATGTATTTTTTTCTTGAGTAATTTCAGTTATATCTAGCCTTTTGGTCTTCTCTATTTTCACTGTCCTTTATGCCTTTTCTAAATAAATAATAGGTGGAAACACTAATTGGAAGCCCCCACTCAACTGTAAGATCTTTAATTACCTGAACAAAATTGGATGCTTCTTTCTTCATCCTCGCTGTAGTAAAAGAAAAGATGCTGCTGATTTTGCCATATGTATGCATGTGAGTCACTGTTTCATTAAAAACCTAATTGAATCTAGGACCCACTGATTCTGTGCATGAATTTTTTTTCTGCTTGAATTTTACTGAAACTGTGTTTAGATCATTCTTCACTGCTATACTTTCGTGTAAATAATAAAACCTGTATCTGGTTCTATTTATGACTACCATAAAGTCAGGGGCCCTGGCAGTCTTTCTTACTGCTGTATTCCAGCTCCTAACAAACCTTTACCCATGCAGAGTAGATCCTCAACTATTTATGGAATGAATAATTAAGAGATGATACTGTATGTAATCCATACTAAGACCCTTTCACACTTTAACATCCCTGAAATTGATAGGCCTCTTTAATAATCACTGGTGACCTGGACAGAATTTGCATTTGCTTCTGTTCCTGCAAGCCACCTTGAGAAACTACCAATGTGAGACCTACTTTAAGTTCTCTGCTTGAGGGTTTTTGAGTCACAATGATAACATGAATTGACTCTGCAAATGTTATGGTTTAAACTGCAAGAGATTTTTTTTCTCCCCTGTCTGCCCAGTGCCAGGATTAAATCATGGAAGTTATCCTGCTTATCTATGACAGATTGCTTTGTGTCTTTTTAATTAAAGCGAAGAGTTTTATTGAAGGCATAGAATGATCCAGATGGGGCAACAATTAGTGAGAGTTCACTAAAGTGCTCCCAGATTTATTTTTTATTTACCTTTACATTTAGTATGCAGCCCTTCAGAGTTCTAGCTTTATATGAAGACCACCTTTTTGTACTCCCATTTTGGCTTTTTAGTTTTCTTTTTTAAGGGCATATAAAACAGCTTATCTTATAATTGATGGCATGTTATATTTTATTAAATGTGGTATATTTCATTTATGAAAGAGATCTTACTATCACAATTTTATGGGGGCTGGGGACAAGCTTAATATCCTATATAAGTATTCATTCTGAAATAGCTATAACTTGATTTAAAACTCAAATGCTGATTTTTTTTTTTTTTTTGGTAACATACACCATTTGTTCCAACTTAGGCTGGCCGTCTAGATGAACAACTACCCAAGCAAATTCCTTTCACCATTCTCTCAGGAGATCAAGGTTTTCTGGAGCTCGAGAATCAATTTAAGAAGACTCAGAGGCCAGCTCACATCCTAAATCCTCACCACTTAGAGGGAGATATGATGTGTGCCTTGTTAAATAGTATATCTGATACTACCAAAGGTATGCAGCTGCAGTCACAGTGCAAACTGCCCAAGAGGAGGAGATTTCACTGCTGAAAGAAAACAATAAACTGCTGTCCACTAATGAACTGTTGCCCAGTAACTAAGCCATCATACTCATAATTATCTGTTATTTATCTTTTCTTTATCTCACTCTCGTTCTTTAGTGTTCTAGAGAGGGTGAATTTATGGTAATTTTCTGGGGCCTTGCTTTTTGATCGAATAGGTCAAATCTATATATATCACATCAAATGTATAGTTAGGGTTGAAATAATGTAGTTTTACAAAGGTCAGACTTCAGATTTTTACTTTGTTTCTGAAATTCCAAACAAATTCTTCAGAGCAAAGTGCTTATAAGTAGAAACCATTTCAGTCAGTGTCACAAAACAAAATGTGTATGAATTGTTGAATAGCAAACCAGTTTGCTCTGTAAACTTCCACCCAAATCACAATTTTGAAAAAAAGAGAAAAGAAGCCATTTAAGAGATTGACAGTGACAAAATGAAGACCTTTAGTTCCTTGGAAAGGATAGGTAATTTCTGTTCTCTTGCTGGCAACTTGCACTCCTTTTCCCATCTTTGTGAAACTGTTCAATGAAAGATAATATTTATGTTCCAAGATTACTTGGATTCAAGATGTAGGGATTAAAGTTTTTCTTCATAATTTCTGAAATAAATGTGGGTAAAAGAAGAGAATAAATGTGGAATTAATTTTTAAATATCCTAGCAATTTGAAACCATGAGTAAAATTTTGAAGGTACTGATGAATGACCTGAATGGAAAACAATACCCAGAAATCTTTTGGCATTTTTATTGTATGCCTTTAAATTGTCCAACTCTTCTTGCTTCCCAGCTGTTTTTTCATTTCAACATATTTGGGACCACATTTTGATTAAAAACCCATTTTGTAGAATTTTTCTCCAATCTCTAATTATAGTAGATTCAGTCCATGTCTGTACAATTACAAATCATTAACCTACTAGCTTATATGTGATCATTGAAGCAGAGTAATGATGACAAAATGATAAAAATAAGGTCTGTTTTATATTTTGGTCATGATTAGTACTGAATTATATCTTCCTATTCTGTAATTTTTATTTCTGTCCATTTGCTTTTTCTGTCTGGGGCTTCTTTTTGTTAACCTCTTTTTCTGTAACTCTAGCTGTCTCTCCTTTGATCCTTAATTACATCCACTTAATATCCAGTAAAATACTTAACACTGGAAGCCGATTCCTTTTTCTTTCTCTTACAACGTTGCTTTTAGGAGCATTTCTTGTATAACTTAAAATGTGAAACCTGTTAATGGATTTAACTCTATTTCAGTTCTGTTTGGAATGAGAGGTAAATATGAGTAGGTCTGCATTGTAATGTGAAGTTTGGAAGTGTGATAAGAAAGTTATTGTTATCTGCTGGTGATACCTTTCTGAATGCCTTGTAGTTCTAGATATTCTTTTTTTAATCATTCATTCATTCATATTCAGTGCTCTTTTGAATTTATTGCTCTTTCGGGCACATGTGTACTTTTTCTGAATTTTTGTGGGCTTTGGTTTGAATACCGACTTGCTAGTTATAAACTGTGATTTCAGGCAAGTTGTAACTATTTTTGAGCCTTACTTTCCATATCTGTAATGTTATAGGTATTAGTGATGTATGTAAAGTTTCTGGCACATTTTATAAAGTACTGTAGGTACTTGGTAAAATAGCTATTTTAATTATTACTGCCATAAAAAGAAAATGTGGTTCTCAGTCACTGTATTTAACAGATTGAAAATAATTAAAATGCCCAGAGCAGTACAGAGTCTTTAAATCAAGGTATTTTTCTTTAATCATAAGTATCTAATGACGTATATAATGTTTTTTTTGTAGCTCTAAAATTAAAAAAAAAAAAAAAATAACACTAGCACAGTATTTTCAGGTTCAGTTATCTAAGACAAAATTTTTTGATAGTAAACTTTATGACGAAAATCATTTTCTTTGACTCTATCTATTTCATCACCTTTCCTAACAGAAGTCCTTGTGAATAGAGTAATACTTTGTCGTAAGGCCTAGTAATTAATATGAAGACTAATTCTTTGTTGAGCCTTTAGGTAATTTTTGGTTACATGAGTGCCAGGATAACTGTTTATCTAGTTTAGCACAGTGGTCCTATCTTGAGATTTGACAAGCAGACAGTCTCTTAAGGTTGTAGTTGTAGACTTTTTTTTGCTCTCCCCTTTTCGTGGAAGGGAGGTGTGAAATAGGGAGGGAGGCTGGTTCATGCCCTTGTTTGAGATTCTAATGAAAGCTTTCTATACCCTCTTTCCTCAAAAATAAACATGGATATACAATTATATATGCAATTTCAGGGGATTTGTGGTCTTAAGATTCCTAGTTACAGACAAACAAGACCTCTTTTATCTTTGGAATATAACAGAAGTTCATGCTGCAATAAGGATCCCTGGTGGTGCAATGGTTAAGTGCTCCCCTGCAAACCAAATGACAGTGGTTTGGACCTACCAGCCACTCTGCAGGAGAAAAGACCTAGCAATCTGCTCCCATAAAAATTACAGCCTAGGAAATGCTATTGGGAGTCCTGCTTTGTCATACAGGGTCACTTGAGTCAGAATCAACTCTTTAGCACACAGTATTGTAAGTAACATATGGTGAGAGTTACCTCTTACATCTAGCATCAGTTTATAGGCAGTCTTGGGACTTTAGATATATAGACAAACGATTTAAGTTTGAGCCTCTTTTGTCTTTCTGATTTTTTAGAAATTTATCATTACTGGGGTCAGTAAAGGAGTCCTGATGTTGCAGTGGTTAAAGCACCCAGTTGCTAACCAAAAACTTGGTACTTTGAACCCTGCCAAAGGGGCAGGGAGGCCGCATCTTCTGACCTCTTTTAACCTCATAAGAGGAAGATAGAGTCACCATCAGTAGCCCAAGGCCTATTCCTGCAAGGCCAGACATGCCGCCTCCCTTCAACCCTGACACCAACCTTTCCTCCCTCAGCACGCACCACCTCTCTGCTGGGTTTCATAATTTGCTGCAGTAGCCACACAAAACTCACAGATTATGGAGTTTATTAGGGAAGCACCAGGCTACAAATTCAAGTTCAGGAAAAACACTCAGTCTCTCTCAGTCCACGTCTCTCAGCCAACAGTTTCTCTCAGCCACTCTCCCAGCAATGCGTGTCTCTCGGTGTCTCTTTCTCAGAAGTGTGTGTCTCTCAGGAACGCATATCTCTTAGCAGCACGTCTTTCTCAGCAAGCAGTCAGAGAGGAAGCCTCTTTTTGAGCCTGGCAGAGTGGCCAAAGTAACCACTCATAACATCAGAATTCTAAACACCTGAGAGAGCATGTACTTCCCAGAACATTGCTTTGTGCCACTCTGAACAGAAATACACCAGGTGAATAACTTTAATGATCAGGAGCTACTCAGTTGCTCAGGGCAAATTCCACCACTGAGTTTACAAAGACTTATGGCTAGAAAAGCCATTCCAGGTAAATTTACTACACCACAAACCCACCAGCTATTCTGAGAGGGAAAGATGTAGTAGTTTGCTTCCATAAAGATATATAGCCTTGGAAACCCTATGGGGCATTTCTGCTCTGCCCTATAGGGTCACTATGAGTTGGAATAAACAACAGTGGATTTTTTTTGTTTGTTTGTTTAGGGACAGAAAATAGTAATCAGACTGGACCTTCCTTTGTAAGCAGGAAGAATCTCTTGAATCCTGCCATGAGCATCAGTGATTATATATGGTATCTTATACTTTGAGAATTTAGTCTTTGCTGATTTTCCAAAGTTAATTGAAAGTTTTTCAGGAGATACTTATCTCAGTATAAAAAAGATTTCCAAAGTTGCTAGTTCCATATATGGATGTCCAGTCATTAGGCCATAAGATACAACTTTATGCTTGATGGAGAGGGGACAGGTAAGTAGCTTTTCTATGGGTACTTTTTTTAGGTCTCTGATATGGTTAGGATGAATCAATTATTCATGTACCTGGACAAAGTTTAAGGTTTGATTGTGCCATGGTTTCTGCCCTATAAATTCTCTATCCTTCTAAGCATCAGGGTGCCAGAAGCAACATTTTGATTACAGGTGTTATACGTACATACATTTCTGTAGAGACGTTTTGTATAAATATCCATTCACCTGTCTTTAATTGATACCCTTAATTTCCTTATTCTTCTTCATCAATTCTATTTTATACTGTACTCCTTCTCACTGTTGTTAAAACTTGCCAAGATACTTGAATCTTTCTATTAGTCCTAATCAGAAGAGCTAGATAATCAGTCATGAAACAAAATGTGTATGAACTACTGTATGGAAAATGAATCTGCTCTGTAAACTTTCACCCAAATCACAATAAAATTTTAAAAAAGAAGGGGAAAAAAAAGGAACCTAGATAGTTAATAGAGCTTTCAGGCCTATTACATTTTACTCACAAACATATCTTCATTCTAACTCAAGCCTAATGTTTCAGAGATGCAGAGTTAACGTATCACTTAAATAATCAGTTTTAAAAAAGAGAAAAAACTAACCTTTACTAAGGATCTGCTACTCATTAAAGGAGCTCTGGTGGCATAGTGAGTAAGACATTTGTCTGCTAACCACAAGGTCAGTGGTTCAAACCACCAGCTACTCCGTGGAAGGAAGATGAAGCAATCTACTTCCATAAAGATTGACAACCTTGAAAACCTGATGGGGGTTACTGTCGCTCGACAGCAGTGGCTCTGCCCACTTGTTATGTTCCAGACACCATGTTGGCTGTTTGTTATATTGTGATGTTTAAACATGTTTAAAGAACAACTTCCATGTATTATTTAATACTCTAGGCAACACTATGAGGTAGGATATTTTATATTACCCCATTTTATAGATGAGGAATCCTGGAGGTTCTAAAAGGTTAAATAACCTGTGTGTGCCCACACAGTAAGTACTTTTGTCCTCATTAATATTGCCTGCAATGGCTGAAGTTTTTACTGACACAAATAACCTGATATCATGATGTAGAGACGTTTATCCATTGTGAGTTGTTGACACTAAACATGTCTCTGAAGAATGCAGGTAATGAGAGATGTTTTGCTGCAGTCTAACAATGC